GTTCCAAAAATCCGGAATGGTCGTACTCGTTCGGCAAAGGATATTATCCAGGTCATCGTGCCAAACCTGTCTGGGCCGTGTCTAGATTGCTTGCAGGTTCGCGGCTTTACTCCTGTCTGGGAATAAACTTCCTCTGCAACATTTTCTTCGCTGATTGGTGTAACGGCACAGGTAAGACTAGACGGATCTGTATCGGACGTAGGATCACTCAGAGGCATATGGGAGTGCGTGGGATCCAAATGGCCTAGATTCGAAGAGCCACCTATAGGCCTTGTACGAAAGGATATCAAAAGTCTACAGAGCTAGCTACAGGGAGTGTCTCAATATATACCTATCCTAGTCAGGTCCGAATTCGGATCCGACCTCGGGCGAATAGCTGATAGAGGGCGGCAGGTACTTCCTCCGATCCGGCTCTGGGATTGGCTCAATACTTGGCGAAGTTGTAACATCGTTACAATTGGTACTGCTGCGTCTCCGCCTATGTGGAGTCCTATGAGAGCCGCCTCTACACGCTGCACTGCATAGTTGATCCATTTCTCCGGGAGCTGGAATCCAACTGCACCTAGAGTTTCTAGCATGACTTCAATGTTATCTGGCTGCAGCAGTCGGCTCTTGATAGTGTCGTTGGCTGGTGTGAGTGCCCAGCCTGTTTTTGTCGTTGTGAGTCTTGGGATATCTTGCAGAGTGAGGTTATCAATCTTTGCGCATAGTGCTTTCCGCATTACAAAGGGCGAAGGCTCTTTTACTCTCTGTGCTGTAGATAACTGGAAAAGAATTCGGCCATCTGGTATGGGCTTATTCGGCGGCTTATTCAGGGTTACGCCGTTTCGGTGGGTCGCTGCCGTCTTGGTTATAGCGGCGCCCCTTTCCTGCATAGGGTGGCTGTTGGGGAGTCTTGCGACGTCCGCATATGTACGTGTAGGTTTAGGCCCAGCGTCGCTCGCAGGCTGTGGGGTGGTCGTGGATGGGTGGTGGATAGAGTTGGTTAGGGCATACACTACACGTTGCTGTAGTTCTTGTGCGACCAGACGCTCAGCTGCGCTAGTGTAGTTCTCTAGGCAATGATCGATCGCGTTCGCGATAGCTGTGATGATGCTGTGTCTAGTTTTGGCGGCCGCTTGGGCTGCCGTGATCTTCTCTGTAACCGCGCCCGTCACCAGTTGTCTCTTGTTAGCACTATCACCGAACGATATAGGTATAGGCGCTGCTTCGGCTTGCCTGTGTCTTTTTGTAGTGCGTAGGTTAGCTAGGCTAGGGGTATTTGGGTCCTCAGGGCGTGTGTGCGTGACTTCTGGAAGCCGAAGTGTCTGCCCTGGGGTACCTGGCACCGCCATCTCTCTGTCAGAGGGAGGGCTGGGCCCGATATGAGTTGTGAGTTGCCTTGTTAGGCGCTTTAGGAGTGATTTCTAACAAAAATTGAATTGTTTTGAAGAGTACCATAAAATCACAAAGTTGGTGTTCGGTGTGCCTGCAAAGATGAGAAAGGCTGGGATGCGCTTTCCTGTCGCGCCAACACCTTGTATCAGCGTAACCCACTCACGATTACCTGGCTGGATCTTCTTTGACCTTCCTGGTTTACCTAAGCCTGTGATAACTGACTGTGATAAAATCTTGCCCATAATAAAGCCTGTCTCATCAAAGTTGTAGATATCTTCGTCCACAATACCATACTTCGCCTTTGTATTCTGAACCAGCTCAAACCAGCCTTTAATAAGAGCTGGATCTTCGCAAGCAGCTCGCTGGCGATCATATGGACGGCTCCGGCGCGTACGCAGCTCAGGATTGCGCTGGATAAACCTATCCACCCAGTTCTTGCCAACCTCTTCTCCACCACGCTCTCGGAGCAGTCTATTAGCCATATCTCGCACGTCGTCTCTCCCACAGGGTAGTCCTCGCTCAGCCTCAACTAGTATACGCCTAGTAATGACCTCCTCTTCTAGTTTAGCTAGGCGCTTGCAGTTGGGCTCGCAGTCGCGTCGAGAGTGCTTTCCGTCGCGTCTTCGACGTATTGTTGTTTGTGGCACGTGATAGACTCGTTCAGCGTGTCGGATACTTTGAATTTGATTTCTAGTAAGCTCAGAGACTACTATTTGCACATCAGCTTCAGTATAATATCTTGAGGGTTGTGGTTGTTGAGACATCACGCGTTGTTGTTGGAACGTCAATTTGGTGGGGAGACTGCGCCGCTCGGTGGGGTGCGCCGCTCGGTGGTGAAACACGTTAATATAGTTATTAATTAACTATAATAAAAGTGCGTGATAAGGTGTTAAAGCTGGTGAGGTGGTGGGGAGTAGGCCGCTTACTTGAGTGGGCCGCTTACTTGTGAACTACGTTACTCTTGAAGTCTCTAATCTACCTCTAATAGTTAAAAAAGCATAATCTTACGTCGATGTTCTATTATTGCGTTCTAAAGGTAGGTGGTTTTGGCTACAAAAAAGGCGCTATACTATATTTGAATTTCGAGGACACCAACGTGCATCCCTTCGTGACGGGACGCCCTGTGTGCCGGGACTGGCCAATCAGAACGCTAGTTTGAGGCAGAAGTCAGCAATTCAAGCGAGCTGATTGGCCAGTCCCGGTACACAGGGCGTCCCGTCACGAAGGGATGTGTTAAGAGTATGAATCCTAAGTAGAAGTAATATAAGACTTCCGGTGTTAAGACTCTTCTTAGGTTAGTTTTCGCTGATGAAGTAATAGGGTAATATAAATAGTGTCTCTGCAAGTATAATATCTATATTATACTTATACTTATGTTGGAAGTAAGGCTTTAGTTAAGGCCTATGTTACACGGGGTTGGGCTATACTTCTCTAAGTCTCGATCCGGGTTAGGGCGAGACGAGCTGGAGCGTGAGTCCGCGTGAGGGTTTCGACGATTGCGATGTGGAAAAGAGTTATGGAAGTTAACCGAAAGTAAAACCTTCAATTCTATATGATAGAATAACTAAGTATCAATCTGTGTAAGAGAAGAACTTATGAGAGTTGACCACAACGAGTGTAATAATGAGATCCAACACATTCTTATACCCATTGCTTCCAGTCCTGCCATCTTGTCCATCTCTCCTAGGCGAGATGTCCGAGATGGTCCTGCCATCTCTTCATGTACTGCCATCTGAGATGGCCAGGCTTGGCGAGATGGCACATCACGTGACTCCAAGCCCCGCAATGTCTTCTGTCTTCTGACGTGGGCGTGGTTGGTCCTCAACCTCGTCATTTCCGTCAAGGAGAGAATCCTTCTTGTTACTTGTAACAGCCTATGCACAAGGCCAAGAAAGCAAAAGAAAAGAAAAAGCCACAAAAAGGCGACACCTCAGGAGATAGAAACAATACACACCGATTTTATGACCCCATGATTGAAGACCCATCAAATCTGACAACTTATAACTTAAGTTAAATATATTAAGCTATAAGAGTTTGATATCTATTCCTATATACTAGTGTGTTTTATATATTCTATATAGGTTTATAATGTTCCACGCGTGGAATATTGCGCAATAATATAGAATATATAGAACACACGTGACTTATTTCATAGTAGCGTTCCGCCAAGCGCGTGGAACGTGGGGTCCGCGCTTGCGTCATTAGCTATCTTGCCATGGTCAATGAAAGAGGTCTTGACATAGGCTGCTTCCTTCCTTCTTTCCATATCTTGCGCTGTGTCCTTTCCTCAGGTTCGTAACATACTGATCCTTGACGTTATATTATTGAATATTAGTAAGTCAGAGGGTTTAGAAATGATGTGTATGCAAATATACCATATCTAACCAATGTAAGGCGGCGAAAGAGGTCTAATTTGTCACGGTGTGGCCGTGAAGCCCTTGTCTAGGACGTTAGCCTAAGTAATACAATAATATTTGGCTCTTTATAGTTTCCTTTAAGACCCAGCCCATAACAATAACCTCTTAACCTCTTAACCTCTTAATCCCCTAGCCCTATTTCGCGTTCGACTTTGTGAGGACGACTTCACCCAGTGCAAGTGACCAAGGCAGAGGAAGCAAGATAAGAAAATGACGATCAAATTTAAAAGGCGATAATAGCAGACAACGAGCTAACTACAGGTTATTACTACCTATATAATGTTGTAACGTAGTTTGGCAGGGAGGAAAAAATGTAATTATAGGTGTAGCATGAATTGAGACGAATCCTTGAAATCTATCTCAAGGTTCAGGTGAATGCCGTATACTCTAGGTACGGGCCTGGGGTCCCCTGGCCCGGTAGGTCTCCGATGTGTGCCCGGGTGTAATCTTATGTTAGAGTATCGTGATATATTAAGCTTTTCAAAACAGACATTTACTAATGAAATGTTTGTAATAGCTGAACTGTTGCACGCGCAGATCGGCTCCAGCATTGGAACTATAAGTTACGGAATTTATAGCCATTTTACAAAATAGTAGACCAACTATCTTTGTATGGTTATGAACAACAGCGTAATAGAGTGGGACATTCCCATCGCTGTTTTCAGCATCGACTGAAGCCCCTTCTTTGATACACCATTCGACCATCTCTGCGTCACCTCTAGAAGCAAGCTCATGCAGGGCGGTGTTTCCGTCCTTGTCTTGAGCATTGACATCAGCTCCATACTCGATAAGCAATTCAACTGTTGTCTTCTTGCCAGCTGAGGCTGCGAGATGAAGCGCAGTACGTCCGAGATCGTCTCTATCATTTACACCAAATTTGACAGGAGAGAAGAAATAGGATTTATCTTCTCAATTTTTCGGGTCTGCTGTTAGTAGGAGACCTCCATTGGCAGCCTGTGCCTCTACATTCGGGCAATTTTGCAAGAGGAGCTTAACACGCTTCATATCACCTTCAGAACTAGCATTATGTAGTGGGAAAGAAGTTTTTGACGACATCTTGACCTTGCCTGATGCGGATTTTTGTTTCTAGAAGATACTTTGGATCTGGATTACGAGCTAGGATGACAGGTTGAAGTGGCGATGTGTCTACTTTTCCTTTGTGGGTACCTCTCTATTACGGGAGTATACCCTACTGGTGCCACTCAATCATATTTCTATATGCCAGATGTGTATAACTGTAGATTCCGTTTGAAGGTAGTCAGCTTGGATTACTCTTATACCTGTTTTCCCCAAAGTCTCTCAGGATTAAAGTGGGCTATAAATAGCCAGAGGTTGTAAGCATAATCTTCACAAGTAGAGATAGCCAACACACTGTCAGCAGAAACCCGCTGTATCCGTTTCTCGTGAAATATGACATGGGTAGCAGGACTGTACTCGAATGCCCTAGCGTAAAAATGATTCTAGAAAACACGGATACACGTTTCACCTAGAAAGTCAACCCATACTTCACCAATGTAGATTATGGACCGGCTATTGCGCGCGATACCGAAATGTAACAATGTGAAGGGAATGCCAAATACACCTCAAAGCGGTGACATGCTGCCTCAACAGCTGACGGTGGGGGCGCTGTTGGCATGTGACTTCCAGTAAGCCATGAAAATTTAGTGTGCGAGCAAAGGAACTTGTTTGCAGTAATGGGGCCCTGAAATGTAGTCGGGTTATGCATTACGTATATCTGGAATAAACACACCAATGTTTCTTTCCTTGCAGTCATGCCATTCATCACCTCCTCGGTCCTTCCCATTATTATACTTGCGCCTTATGATAAATTACCACCTACACTAACTTTTAAACACCAAGGTTTGATTAGAATTTATTCCATCAATAACGTCTTCTGGTCTGCTATCGTGTTCTAGCGACAATGAAGAGCTGTAAGCACAGGTCCTGGCTGTCCCTTCACGGAAAGGACAAATTTATGTTGCATTGTGCTAGTACTTTGAACGATATAATCACAAGCCTCGACAAACCTGCCAGCAAGACCCCGAGTCTGGTCGTCATGCTTGGTAACGCTGCTAAAGGAACACTGTTAGCCGATGTTCTGCCCACTAGCAGAACGCGTGTGAATAGCCGAGCGTCTCATGGAGTGACTCTACAACTCAACTCTGCTACCGCTTTTAGTGATCATCCAATGCTGGTTGCGCATGAGGATACCTCTAAGCGGAGTACGTCCCTACCGGAGCCCATAGCCTCTCCCTGTCACCGCCAAATAGTACGTGCATTACAGTGGCAAGTGGGTAGTTTAGCTGAGGCTTTTGATAGCCTCCATTGTAGACTTATCCGTCCTTTCACAGACTTGGTGTGTTTCTTCTCCGCAGGAGATCATGATGTGCATCGTCAGGTCGACTGCATGGTACCGTGGCTCGAGCAGACGCTCGGCCAGGGGCCCAGCGCCACAGTATATCCTCGACTACTCTTTATAGCGGCATCTTCAGAGAAGCGAAGTGAAGCCATCGTACAAGACCAGCTCATAGGTCTCTTGCGTACGCGTCTGCAACAGCCTACATTGGATGTATCCTCTCGCCTTTCTGTGTACGTTAAGAACAATAGCACACAGACGCTAACCGACCGCATCAAACACGAGATAGATAATACCAGAATTCAGCGCGCTCGTAATTATACCCTCTTAAATGCAGTGCACTTCGATCTCTTGTTTCGTCAGGCTTGCGATCACTTTGTCAGTGGCGAGCGAGCTCCGTTCGATATGATCGCTGCATCACGATCGCACCGCTCCGTATCCCCGCACCTGCGCACGTATATGAACATCCTTTTTGACATGGTAGATAGCGTTCAAGATGTGGTAGAGTTTGCGATTCCATTTGCCGCAGGTTGCTTTGTAGTAGACAACTATACATACGACGTGCCCTGTCAGTGTCTAGTGCGGATGAACAGCTTCAATCTGCTAACTTATTAAAGTCTTCGACCCGCTCCAGGTGTATATAACTCACTATAGGTCTGCCTGTATAGATATAGCTGCGAACACGCGACGAAAGTCCTCGAGACACTGTGACGATTCAAGATTGCTGCTTCGCAGCCAGTGGCTCTCACTATTTGAGCAGCACTTCGTGCAAAGAAGTAAGACATTGTGTTCAAATCCGCGAGCGAGACTTCTAGCCGATTTCCAGCCATGGCTTGCGAGTCGGAAGCCTCACATGATCTGCTTAGCTTGCATGCAAGCCGAACCTGAGCATAAACTGATATGCGGCCATTTGATCTGCGAAAAGTGCTTCACATGTATAGGAAGCTGTACCGAAACAGATCCTTACCTCTACAAGTTGGATGACTGTCCTTTTTGCTCCCAGACTTGCAAAGCCAGTGTGCGCGTGAAACCTGCCACTGCGGGTTTGCGCGTGCTTTCTATTGATGGTGGTGGCATTCGCGCCACGGCTCCCTTTCAATTTCTTTCCGCGCTCGAAAAAGCGGTAGGTCTTGATATGCCTATCCAAGAACACTTTGACCTTGCCTATGGAACAAGTTCAGGTAAGATATCACAGGCATTTCCTGTTCGTTTTTCATTGTTTATCTCATCCTTTTGTAGGTGCTTTGGTCCTTCTAGTGCTCTACGGCCTGGGCATGCGAGTTGAGAAGGCTTTTACTTTGTTCAGGCAGTTTTCAGCACGAGTGTTCAGAGAACGGAATACATTTGGTCTAGGACTTCTTGCCAATATCTATGACTTCATCACTTCGTGGCGCCACGGCCGTTTCTCTGCTAGCGACATCGACTATGCTCTAACAGAAATCTTCGACGAATCCACAATGCTAGATCTTCAGTATATGAAATTAATCGGAGCACGAATGGGTTTTCCTGTTGTCGATACCATCACATCAGAAACATGTCTGGTGACAAGTTACAATGGAACTGGTTCAAGCCACAGCGATGAGGCATATACACGGATGCTAACGTACCGGCTCTTGCGCTCAGAAGAAGTCAGTAGCGAGATATGCATCAAGGACGCGTGAGTTGCTATGTCTTGACTTGAGGTTCACTGCTTACACGATGAGATAGTGCACGAGGTACATCAGCGGCTCCATGGTGAGTGCCCCAAGTCGTAACTAACTGGCTGATGCCCTGACAACGATAGGTATTTCACATCTCACAAGATGCCTGGCCATGGTACATTCATCGATGGAGGGCTAAGCAACAACAACCCCTGCATACTTGCCGTACAAGAGCTTCAGAAGATAGCTCCTAGGTTGAACCGTGCCGACCATTTCGTCTCGATTGGTACAGGCGTTTCGACAACGAGAACTTTTGCCAAATGCAACTTCTACTACAGTCTATTCCTGAGACTACTCAACGGAAACAACTCCGTACAGCCGACTGCCAAGCACTACCTTAACGTAAATTTTGATGGTGATAAGATGTTCGCACTCATGCGACAGATTTTCGCTGCATCGTTGCCTGGAGGGGCTGCTAGCGTTGATAAATGGCTTCATCGATTCAACCTACCCGTGGAAGGCGAACTACCGGATCTTTCCGACGCTTCTGCCATAGAAGGTCTTGCTGAGACCGCTCATTCTTACTTTGCAAAAGACCCCGCTGTGCTTAATCTAGCCGATGCTGCACTCGCTCTCAGCTTCTACTTTGAGTTGCAGCCAGGATGCATGCCAATCTACGAGCGCGGCTCCTACACTTGTTACGGCTTGATTCGATGTCGTATCCCTGGAACCAATCCTGCGTTATCCAGGTTGATGCAGAAGCTCGATTGCTTAGACGCTAGTTTCCAGATTCAAATGCAATTGTACGATCCAAAAGAGACCATGTCAACATTGCGCGATCGGCACGGGAACTTCTGCAAACCCGTGTGTTTACGCGTTCATTCGCTCAACGACGAACTGGATGTTCGCTTGAGATTGCGGGAGGACTGTGTTCATCATATCAGCGCTTCGCCGATAACCTTCAAAACGCTAATTGATCTACAGATGCTGGAGTGGAGTGCGCTCAAGAATGAACACACTGATGAACGAGTGGCAAGCAAGAAGAGGCGACGAGATGACTCGCCCTTGCAGACAAATAAGCGACGTTGTCTGGAGACTACGTGAGATTGTCTATACGCTAAAACCCGTCTAGCCGCATGCTCTTTGCGGTCAACTGGAAAATGTCAAGAACGGCCTGTTACGATAGTTGAACGGCATAGAATAGTGTTGTAAAAGTTTGACATGCGATGCTATCACTTGGAAGATGTTCGTATAGCGTCCAACGAACCAAACTGCATATAAAAGGCGGGCTCAGGCGATTTAGGCGCTGCTAGAGTGGGCCAAAAGGAGAACTAAGTATACATCTACATAGCAACAGGGGCCTGGGCAAAAGTCCAACGCACGGAATAGGGCCTTTCGTGATGTCAACTGCTACGTGATGCGAATTTCACTGCGCCACACATCAAAAAGCAAGCAGTGGCATGATTTCTGGAGCATCAGATGCTATAACGGCTGCCCAAAACCCGGGTCGCCTTCCAAGCGAAAGGCAACTGCTGAGCACACAGAAGGTCTTGGCACACTCTCTGCTCTGGTAATCCCTAGTCGCCACCCTCGGCGCTGATAGCTCAATTTGCGGGCAAAATGTAACTCTTGGTATTTCATCAATGCTGACAAGAACTGCGGAACATCTACCACGGGTTTTTACTGTCACGTTTCCCCCGGCTTGTGCATATAATTATCACATCAGTATGGCGCACTCAGAGCATAGTCATGCACTTGCTTTCCCCCAAGGCTTGCATGTCGCCACTTTTGCTGCTACCGCAAGAGCTAATATCGGCAATTTGTGCTTATCTTCCTATAGATGGGCTAGTCGCGCTGAAGCTGGCGCACCGGATCATCCATTCCCGAGTGCATATCAATCCTCAATCGTGGTCAACCAATAGAATCTCACGATGCACACGTCTAGCAATACGTACCCACCTTGCACCACCGGATCCTGCGCCCGCCCGAAAATGGTGCATCTTGTGTTGGAACAGCTACCCAGCAAGCATGTTCCGCTCCTCGAGCAGCCCCATCTGCACCCGTCGTTCTCTTGTTCAACAAGATTCGGAGGTAGAGGTGCTTGAGCTCCCGCCGCGAATGTGCTGCTGGCACATTGGTCGTCTGACGAGGCTTGTAAGCAATGCGCCCAATGGAGAAGACGAATGGGTCAGCTGCTTCGAATTGGTGTGCATGCATTGTGGATCGGTCCAGGGCTGGAGGAAATGTGACTGCGATTGCGACAGCTGCGCGTTCCGGACCGTGCGGACCTACACGCGTTTCTTAAGCAAGGACACGAAATACAAGAGTTTCACGTTGTGGCGAAGCAGAGAGACGCGCGATAGCGTTGCTAGGCACAAGGAGCTTCGAGGAACACTATACGCTAGAGAAATCCGCGATGACCCTGGTGTGTTTGCCCCACCACATAGCAAACCTGGAGACGGGCTAACATTAATCCAGACGTACGCAATGGGATCTCTGTGGTGGATCTACCCGTAAGATTTGAGCATACGCAGCCCCGGTTGCTGTTCATTGCCGACAGCGGTGTCTAAACAGGCGTCAGCATTTTTGGCTTGTTGAAGCTACTAGTATTAACTAGGTAGGAGGTACGCATCAAAGCACGGGCACCGGCGATGCAGGACGTAGCTGACGTCAATCAAGTAGCGCGGGTCACTCTTGCAGAAAATTGTGGGAACTACATGGCAAATGAGGCCGTCATCTCAACGCTTTGGCCAAGTTTAATGGAAAACGCTTACGGATTACGCTGGTCAGTGCTGACAACAACCGGAGCCGACATGAAGAAATTGTCAGGCGAGTTAGTCACGAGTGTAGGCAATAGATTCAAATTTCATCACATAGGTGCATATGCTGCGGCTGATTGAAGCTTTAGCTGCAGGTGATGGTCGAAATTGGTATTACATGTGTCTTCGGCATGAACATTACTGAAAGAATTTGGCGCTGATTGGCTGAATAAGCTTTGCATATCAAATTGACGAGACGGGCGTCATGCTAAACATGCTTGGCTCTGTTATAGTTTTGGTAAGCAAGGCCGATCTCCGTGAATACAGAGAAACAGGCGTGAAGCGCACCCAAGTAACGGCTATTGAGTGTGTCAGTGCTGATCATCGACACTGGCCATCTTTGGGTGTTGTTTGAAGCCTTGATGCGCCGTCGACTTCTAACTAGCAATGGATGCTACGGGATGTGATGCCGGTGGGCAAATTGTCTAAGCTCTAACCCTAGTTAGAATCATCTTGTCTCTGGCAATGTTGAGTTTCTTTATCTTCCCTTTGAAGAATAACGTCCCATCTCATAGTGCAGCAGCACAGCACTATCTCATTCGTGGTTTGATCCTGGATGGAGCACTTGGAGCAGATGGTTGCAGCTTGTATTTTTTCGATATATCTGAAGCTAGCGCTAGTTATCTTGCTAGTCGATGAGAAAACCGACATTGAATGTTCATCTTCGATATCTCATATCAGCACCGCATGCAATAAATCCAGCCTATTAGTTATACCTTCCGTACGTTAACTGTTCTGATACCCAAGCAATCTTTGCTGTGCAATATTTGCAATTGAGGATAATAAACGATTGTGTTTAGTTAGATGTGTTTGCATAAGGCTTCTTGCATTGTAGCTTTCTAACTAGTTAGTGACGTTGTGAACTATAATATAAAATTCACTAGTTAGTTTTTTGACTATTCCTAGTATCTGTACTACCTGAGACTATTAGAAAAATACAAATGAGAAAAGGAAAAACATAGTAACAATTTAAATAAGATAAGTTAAAAGATTGATCAAGAAAGAAGTTCTTCTACATCCCAAGCCTTCTTGTTCGTTGCTATCTGAAGTGCAGTTTTGTGGTACTTATTCTTTCGGTAAATGTCTGCATCTACTACAAGCAGCTATTATACTATGTTGTATAAGTTCTTAGCAGCTGCGACATGAAGTGGTGTATTGTTATCGTTGTTCTTGGCATTCACGTCCGCTCCCGCTTCTATAAGATCCCTCGCTGCGAGGATATAGCCATTATTACATGCTTCGTGAAGCGGAGTGCAGCCAGTCTTGTTCCTGGCTTCAATATCTGCCTTTTGGTCAATCAGAACTTTGACTGTGTCTTGTTTGCCTTTAGCCGCCGCTTTATGGAGTGCTGTACAGCCTTGATTGTCTCTGGTGTAACGGGCTGAACGCCCTTTGGATAGCTCCTCGATGGAATCTCGGTCAAGCAGCAGACGCCGGGTCTTACTCTACAACCCGGCATCTGTGCGACGCCTGAGCGACGCTCAGACAACGCGCTCAGACACTCGGTGCAACCTTTCTCCGACAAGTATGTAAATAAACACTATGCAAGTAGACTCTATAGCTTTCTATCGAATACAACCTCTTGTATACCTCGCGATTGCTCCACGGAGCGCAGCCCCTTACATCTGGCCTCGATTTTGGCCCCACGCTGGATAAGAAACTCCGTGATTTCCCTTCTCCCCTTCATAGCTGCTTTGTGGAGTGATGTCCGACCTCGATTGTCTCTGATCTCAATATCGGCTCCTGTGTCAAGGAGCACCTCAACTGCACTTTGCTCATCTTCTTGACATGCGGTGTGCAATAGCGCAGAGCCGTTCGCTCTAATGTCAAATCCTGGAATCTCTGGTGTTTCTTTGACAAAATTACTATTGCCAATCATTTCAACATGAAGAAGCGCTTCATAGCGGGTGCGACCCAGCGCTTCATCGTAATCCCGACTCTTTCACGGTGACCTTTTCTACTTTAAACCATCTTTTTTTTCGTTTTGGATTTTTCACGTTACCTGTTGTCATGGTTGTCTGGCTCAACTGTATATTTCGGAGTTTACTGTAATCGAGAGACCATTTCTCTCTTATATATTCAAGATATAGCGTGCCACCCTATGACTAAGCATGATCCTGATTATGTAGTAGTTAACAGTAGTTATTATAATTAGTGATTATATGCTATAGATAAGAAATGTGAGAGTACAAGCTTTCACGGGCTAAACCTAATAGCACATAGCTCCCTGCATAATGCGGTTGTTAAGTGGGAGCACACATTGGTATAATTAATTATGCCTGGTCTGCGTACCCATGCGTTGATACATTTTTACAACACGTGCCTTCCATGATAGCCCTGTCTCTGGCTGACGCAGCCCAGATATGTTGTCAGTTCGTACTGAAACGTCAGCCTCTTCACCTTCTCCTTGCAGATTTGCATTTACTATTTCTATGACCTCTTCTACACCCTTACGACATTGATTTTCTTGCTGTTCATTGCTGTTTCCCAAGCAGGCATATGTGCAGAAGTGAAGTGCTCCTTGCTGTCCCACGACAGAGCCATTCTACCTCATCACTATAGGCTGTCTTAAGAGGGCCGAAAACTCCAACATCGCAGGGCTGTAGTTTATGTGAGGTATGAGACGGCATGTGGCATATAATGATGTTGTTTGCGAAGCAAGATGCCAGGATTCCTAGGTTCTCGTGCGAGGCAAAACCATCACAAATCAAGACCCAGGGCTTTCCATTAGCTCGTTCACTGGTTTGAGGATCGAAAGTACGAGTGGGACACTCGAGGCCGATATTCGGATCATCATATCCGTTCTCTGTGTCCATAATGTCAGCCAGGGGCTTGAAAGCTAGTCCAGTTACTTCTATTGGCTGAAGCTGGCGTGTAGAATGCCTCTTCCTCAGCAACCATATATAACCAATAAAAAGTAATACATATGCTATTAGGTTAGGGAGGCTTTGGTGTGATCCAAGGGAGATTGCTGTTATAAAGCAATAGCTGACGAACTACCACGTGATTTCCAACTTGGTGACAGAATTCCAGAGCTTACACAGCCACAGGGTTTCAAAGCCACAAGCTTGGCCTGGAGAGAACTACGCCATAAAAGGTTCTATACTAACTAGCCGGCGTGTAGCTACTCGTTGGGGAAGTACCGACAGGGGTGGCATGGAGGCATAAAGGCGTGGAGGCACGCGAGCATGGCGCGCTACGACATTCGATGTAACCTTTCTCTGATAAGTAAAACAACATCCAAGCGAGAAACCTCTACAGCTCACTATTGAATACAATCTCTTGTAGACTTAGCAGTTGTTCTCTGGAGCGCAGCCCCTTACACGAGGGACCTCCAGAACCGTGCTTAGAGTATTTAACATCCACCTGAACCTGAAGATAGACTTCAAAGATTCGTCTCAATTCATATTATATTACTATCTTCATTCCTACCTGCCAAGCTACATTACAGAAGAGAAGATGTGTAGGGTTAGGGTCAAGGTTAGGATTCCTTTGTATGAATTGTGAACATTCGCACGGAAATGCACTATTCCGTTATAAAACGTAGAACCAGGGGGACCCTGGAGCGGAGCTTTGCTTGTTAGAGTTGATACGTCACGTGTGAACATTGATTAGGACGGAGTGAGAGGAATGCCGAGGCGCTAATGCTGCCACTGCAAAGGCGCCTCCCTTTGATTGGGTTGGGGAACCAACATAAGTGGACACAGCCTCGCTGAGGAGTCAGCCTTGCATGGACATGTATATATAGTGTGTGGACACCCCTAAGTGACAGGGCTGTCACCTTTATTCTTTGTTTCATTTTGCGCTATGGCGGAAGACATAGCTGTTGTTCCTGCCCTTCCAGCGGAGCTGTGGGTCGTGGTTGGGGAAAGTTTTTCCCCTCGTACGACATTGGTAGAGTGGGCGCGGATGCGCGAGACAGGGATGTTTGACACGTTAGGGATAACGTTTTCTCAAGCGTTCACGAAATGGGTTCGTTGTCAAGAACTTGGCGCCCAGTTTGGGATTTCCACCGTTGTGGAAAATGATGTCTCTTTTTTGAAGGAGTTTATTTGTGGCGAGGACTCACTACTAACAACTGTGTGCATAACTAATGATTTTAGTTATGAATGAATATGCAGTCTCTGTCAGCTGCCGGCGGAGTCGCAGTGGTGATACGATCTGTTGGCTGACTCGCGAGAGTGGTCGGAGGCCCTTGTGCCTCGACGCGGATGGCTGCGGATGCTCTGGTGCGGAGTATAATGCGGATGAACTGCGCGCATCTTACATGATTGTTCTCGGGCAAGAGGGTCGTGATGACCAAATATCGGCTTTCGCGCAGCTGTCTGTGGAGTCGCTAGAAGCGGCCATGTTTGGTGGGGTTCAGCATCGCTGTGATACTCCTCTCTATCTCTCATGCCGGGGAGGCTGCTTTTGCATAGAGTGCGCGCATAAAAATCCCGAGGGGCGGCGATTGTTTGAGATGATCTCGTTTTACGGAATGTGTGGGTCACCACATTGGTTTAAGGGTGTCTCAGATGGTGCAGAAGTTGTTGCACCACTTTATGATAGTGATCGACGGACGTGGCTTCAGTGCGCATCAGCCTAGTTGCGTGAAGCAATATATGGCTGATTCATGTGTTATAACGACGCTCTTATAGGATTTAGGAGGTTTGTGTTTACGGCGTTCTACAGTACTAGGATAAAAGTTTTCCTATCACTATCTCTATAACACGAAGAAAGGAAGTTCCTTTCTTCTCTCCTAACAACCTTAATAATCGGTGCAATTTGAATGTATCGTGTAGTACATATACAGCTAGAGCATATGCAAATTTGAAGTGATAAAGAGGCGTTTCTAAGGCGCAATGTAGAGGTTAGAGTGAGCACTAGATGCTCGCTGACCCCCTAAGCGAGGGACCCTAACAGGGGCCTAACCCTAAGTTACTATAATTAGGCGTACCTAGCTGGCTTTAGAAAGCGTGTCCTCGCCTGCTGTTCATTACACGAGCTAGATAGCGGCTAAGAGTAAGTGTGCAATAAAGACAGGCTTGGTTTTATAGGCCTAATAAAGATCTGCAATTAACTAGCCTATATAGTAAGAAGTAGCTGTTAAAAGTAAGTCTGTGTAACAGCGCAGGTAAGGCAAGTCGAATCTGTATCGGACGTAGGATCATTCAGAGACATATGGGAGTGCGTGGGATCACAAAGAGTCTAGATTCAACAAGCCACCTATAGGCCTTGTACGAAAGGATATCAAAATTCTACCGAGCTAGCTACTGGAAGTTTTTCAATATATACCTATCCTAGTCGGATCTGGGTCGGACCCGACCCCCAGGATGAGTGACTGCTGAAGGGGCGGCGGGTATTACCTCCGACCCCGATCCAGGATGGATCCGATACTTGGCAATATTGTAACATCGTTACACTGACATTAGAGGGCGTAGTCCCTTGAGTTAGATTCATTACCTCTACGCGCTGCTAACGTTACATTACTATTATAGCTGCATATCCCTTATATCTTATTCTATCCTAGTTAATTCGAAGCGCAGTCTAATTCTTTATATTTTGCTACTCTAAATAGTCGAAAGATGATACTAAAAATAGCAATAGTGTGACGTATTTTGACAAATAAGAGCAAATATATCGATATAGTATGAATTGAGACGAATCCTTGAAGTCTATCTTCAGGTTCGGGTGGATGTTATATACTCTAGGCATGGGCCTGGGGGTCCCTCGGCCCGGTGGGTCTCCGATGGGTCTTAGGGTGTGATCCCTATGTTGGAGTATCGTGACGATTAGATGTCTATGTACTATTTGCTAATGAAGCTTAGGACTTCCTCCCTACGCTCCGCCTAATAGCTCCTATGTTTGAAGCTCTGGTATCCGAAGCATTGGGAAAACCTCAACGCGCTCCACCACGTTAGTGCCTGTTCTAGGTCATTACATGCAGCCAGCCTCTGCGCTTGTACCTTAGCAGCGTCCTATAGCCTAAGGAAGACCTCAGTTGAATCTAAGATTCGATCAGGATAGTACACCTGATGTTAACCGAAACCTTATCAACAAGCTTCGTAAACATAACTACATTGATCAAGGGATCTAGGAACCTCTGAGTCCTAGTTGGCACGATCACACATGTATCAGCTTTACGACTCACCAAGAGCTGGAATTGGCTTCTCAGCATGCCTAAAGGTTTCTTTAGTGCGTATAAATTCATTAGATACTACAGAGGGTGCGGTAGAGCTTAATAGAAGCTATCTGTAGCGTTGTCATTAATTGTCTCTGGAAGATGCGTCTTTTGCGCAGAGGCGTGAATGCAACAACAACAGCGTAGCTTGTGTAAGAAAAGGTATTTATGTACACCTATCTAAGAAAGCGCAAAACATGGTATGTGTATGAGAAGAGTATGAAAACAAAGCGTGAATCGAGATACTGCTCTCTGAAGATGAAGTACCCCTCTCTTCTTGTGGCATGGTAGAATTTGCGTGACTCAGGGAGGAACATCAGTTTATACATGATTATTTGTATACTTAATAAGGGCAAAGCCCTAATATGTGCATGGATACTACGTAGTTAACCAGTAAGTTGCACTATTTGGGTCCAATGTTGACCAGCAGTATGGCATGCCTCCGCAAAGTCCGTTGCGATCGAAAGTCCTACTCCTCACCGCCATACTATAGCGATTCATTGCGGATCGAAAATGAGCTTCTGCTTGTTGTACGCGTTCAGGCATCCGGGCTAGCATCGTTGCACTGTCGAACATGTGCATAATCGTCTGGTTGCTGTCGACAAAACCGGGACGGTTGAAATCTGCCGCTAGGGCGATCTGACCAACAGAAGCTTCTACATGTGGCAAGAAGGGCATGATATCATGAATACCTTTCTTTGTCGGCAATGTTGTGTAGAATGCGAAGGGATGGAAAGGAAGGGAGCCTGAAGAAGTAGCGAGAGCGTTTGAGTTCAGCGTGCTGTGTACAATAGACACCAAGTGCGCAATGTGTGTCAGAACATCGACGAGAATTCGCTGGTTCTCAACAGACGCTGGAAAGTCGACGATCTCAGCAGGTCTAGCTTCCCTGACCCATGCCTGAAGCTCATGATCATCGGTAATATCGCCAGGATTCGGGTAGTACGACTGTACAAAGACGGTCATGAAACAGCGGATTGCGGAGTGAATAGCGGAAGCATCCTGGTAGAAAGGAAAGGTCTTAATTTTGGGCCCGAAAGATGAGTCGATCAAGCCACGTCTTCGCAAATTGGTGTCGAAATAGTTGGACTGGAAAGCGCTAGCCTCACCCGATTGGTATAGCGTATCTGTGTAGTTGCTTCCTTGACTACCATCCCAGGGGAACAACTCGTCAATGGGACCACCAGGGTAAACCAGGCGTTGAACGGCAACGACTCTGAATGCCCAAGCATCTTTGAGTACTTTTCATATCATGTCAGCATCATGCAGAACTCTGATTCAACAAGTATAACTCACGTCGATGAAGAATGGCCATGATAGGATGATCTTCACTCAGTGTCCGAATAGCACTCAGGTACACAATCTCGCCCACTATATGTGTAGCTGCTAGATGATACCATTGTGCATACCAAAAGCTGTTTGAGTTGAACATCATCTTTGCCAGCAACCAGTCGTTTGGGAGATCCTCCGGAGTGTAAACGAGGTCGGAATTCTTCACGTTCGGTTTTATGGCGAGAGGCAAGAAGTCACCCGATACTGGATGGATATAGAAATACGCTTGACAAGCAGCACCGTATCTATCAGCAGTCTTACGCAGGCGCCCCTGATCGAGAAAGTCGGTAAGGAACAGGCGACCAGTCTCTTGAAGAGCTGTCAATGTTTGACCAGCGATCGCTCTTGCGTTGGAAACAGCGAAAGGAAGTCTTGAGTTTTTAGGAACGCGGAGGATGCGATAGGGGTTCTCAGAGAGCTGGGTCATGGAGAAGAGTAAGTCGTCTGTATAGTTCGTCAAAATCCCTGGATATGGTCCTTTGGGCGCTGAGTGCTTCCATTGGCCTTCATACAACTTCTCATAGTCGTGTATGCTGTTCAATCCACCCTCCTGACATGCGTTAATTTTGAGGGTTGGAAAGTAGGTGGGTTTGGATTACATACGACTAAGACAGACGCTGCAGCGATTCTGGAATCGTTGATGACATTAGCATGCACTGTGTCTAGGAAGTCGCTGAAGCGGTCCACCACCTGTTTCGCAACGGGACCGCCTATAGAGCCTGTCGGATAGAAAGCCGTGTCTCCAGCAATCGATGGACCATACTCCCATCCTCCTCGCTTTTCTTCGAGTGCAAGTGCACGCGCTCTGTTGCTGGAGGCGTTAGAGACAGTGAGCGGAGAACGATCCTGGTGCGGGCGTTGCGTGAACGCTTCACATATAGATCTGCTCGCGCAGAGCGTAAGATAAATCTGATTCCACATTTGTAACGAAGAGGATGCGTTAGAGCTGTATGAATGAAGGATTAACAGATAAAGCACCTACGCCTTTTTCGTAGATGCTCCCATAGTCTTATATAGGATCGCGCTGGATACGATAGTGTAGCACTTTTGAACCTAAGAGCGAGGTCAACGAGATGTCCTAGGCTCCATGTTGCAGGGATTCACTCAATGATTGACACGCTTAGTGTAGGAGACATGGAGCTCCGAGCTTCGCTCACCACTGAAAATATTCTAATTACCCCCACCATGACGCTGTCATGTCAACTAAATCACTGGGAACTAGTGCATTGGGATTTTCTGAACAGCCTTCTTTCCCGTAAGCTTCGAACACGAGTCAGCTTAAAGAGCACAGTAGGGAACCATAGGTACCGTGAAAAAAGTGTACAATTCAACACAGGCTTACGTCTAGCTTATCGTAGTCAGACGTAGGCTCGATTGATCATTGCGTATCTCACATGTTAGACAAAGCCAAATTTCTGATATAAAATCTCTTATAAGATATTTTACCTTGACTAAGGTAACATTTGTAGGATTAAGGGTTTATTCAAAGGACCTGTTGTCACAGGTCTATGTCACTGGATAGATAATATCTAAAAACAAACATCAGCCTCGAGTGATTACGATACCGTGGTTGTTAACTACCATAGATACGGTTGGAATTTAGTTTCAACCACTTATTTCAGTACGTCCATTGCCTTATTACCCTAGAAATAACTAAATCAGTTCAGGATGGACTATGATGGTCTATTATGGGTCTTTGCAGGACTGGTTATACTTGGTTTCATGATCACCCTGAGAGGAAGTAACTTGGAGTGTTACCGCAGCATCGTATTCTAATACAGATATGTTCAACTATTCCGAGCGACTCGTTAGAATTTCGAGAGCTAACTAGGGTTTCTCATCGGTAGAATAATAAGCTTATACTATCTTATCGGAGCATAATCTCACTCGTCAATATATTCTGAACTTGTTTAGAACATATCTTGAAGTAACTAGGATGAAGATGATTCGTTGAGACGTGTGGTGCCAAACCTGTGCACTTGGAGCGACAAGTATCAGTTGAGAAACTAAATAAAATTATATAACTAACGTGTTGGATAAGCGAGTGAGCCAGGCAAGCGAGTGAGCCAGGCAAGCGAGTGAGCCACCCCACCAACTTTGCGCACCTTTACAAGCGCGTAGCTCTACCACATATTAAAAATTTTAATATATATTAAGATAGTGGATTAATTACTATCTAGAGTATCTCTCTTGCATGTACGTGAGTTATGGCCAGTCTCTCTACACCTGCTACAGCGCGCTAGAGCCTGGCGGCTGACACCTGATCGCTCTCCTCCTTGACGCTCTTCATGAGCAATCTGCTGATTAGCCTCGCGCTGAGCGAGTAGATCCTCTCCAGCTCCCTTTGTTAGCACTCCTTGCTTCTGTATCCGCTTTCTTTTACGCTGCCTACGCCTTGTTGCTGCTTCATTAGCCCTCTCAAGGCTGGTGATCCGATCGCGCATTAGCTCAGCTGAGAGCATCATAACCTCAGCCCCCTTCTTAAGCTGGTCAATTGCTGCAATAATTGATGCTGGCGAAGAGCTCTTATGCCGCCGAACCCGATCACGTATTAGCGTTGATTGAGCTTCAAGCTCGCGTGGGTTGCTTGGGGTACGAGCCTGCCAGACAGCCTCTGCAATAGCAGCTGGAGGAGTAGGCGTACGCAGCTTTATGTCAAGCTTTGATAGAACAGCGTCTGGCTGGAGAGGAACAAGGCCTGCGCCTTGAAACGCTGAGCGGATATTAGCTGGTGTGAAGGATCGATCAAAGGCTGTCTTGAACGCTGGCAGAAACTCAAGCTTGGTGATGTGGTTGATGTGGTTGCGTATTAGGCTCTCCACCTCACGGCTATACGCGCGCTTCAATGGCGAGAAGCAGCCAACGTCAAGAGGCTGAAGCAGGTGAGACGAGTGAGGCGGCATACAGAGCGTATAGATATTGTTCTCCTTACAGAGCTCTTGAAACTCTAGAGACTGGTGGCTCTCATGGCCGTCAAGAACAAGCAGGCGACGTGTGCCAACAACGCGAGTCTTTGTGTAGGCATCAAAGTGCTTTAGCCAGGCAACACCTAGCTCGTTATTCGTCCAGCCGTTGTCGCTGACTGCGATCGCCCAGTCGCGTGGGATCTCTGCTTCCTCGTACCAGGCGGATAGATGATACTGGCCAGCGAAGATGAGGAACGGTGGAACTGACCAGCCAGCTGCGTTGATCGCTGCGATCAGCGTTACCCACCCACGATTGCCTGGCTCAACTGCCTTTGGTCGGCCCCTCCTCTCTGACGCTGTTACGACTAGCTGAGTCGTGATCTTGCCCATCATAAAGCCAGCTTCGTCAAAGTTGTAGACGTCCTCATCACAGATGCCGTACTTAGCCTTTGTCTGCTCCACAAGCTCAAACCAGCTCTTGATTTAAGACTGGATCTTCACATAGAGCTCTCTGCCTATCGTATGCCCGATTGAAACGCGTCGTAAGACTGTCTGTACGCTTGACAAAGTTGGCTGGCCACTTCTGCCCAACCTGGCCAGCGCCGCGCGCAGCCAACAGTCTATCAGCCATATCGCGCACAGCTGCGTAGGTAGGCGAAAATCCACGTAGATCTAGATCAAGTATGTGATCGACTATCACCTGCTCTTCTAGCTTCGTAAGCTTCTTTGAGTTAGGCTGGCAATCGCGTCGGGCAGGCTTGCCAGCGCGTCGGCGGTGGAGTGTAGCTCGCGAGATATTGAACGTCTCAGCAGCGCATCTTTCAGTTTGAATTTGCTTTGTATTAAGAGCTGAAGTCGCAAGATATATATTAGCCTCACAAGAGACTTTAGAAGCTTGTTGGGGGGACGCCATAGTTGGTTGAAGTTAAGGTGTTGTGCAAAGTTGGTGGGGTGGCTCACTCGCTTGCCTGGCTCACTCGCTTATCCAACACGTTACCGTGCCCCACCACCTCGCGCACACTACCACCTCGCGCACGCGCGGCCTCACCAAAACAACCTTGTAAATGAGGCTCTAGAGCCACACTAAAGGAATATTATCACTATATATTTTAGAGCTGAGGTCAATAGGCCTTGATATATATGTAGCTATAGAAATCGAGTTGGAGTTCTAATCGCGCGGCCGCAACGCGAGGTTGAAGGTGGTAAGCCTGCAGCACCTCCTTGAGGCTCCTCACTACCTTGAGGCCTCGCGATAGGCCTCTTTTTTCGAGTAGCCTTTGTAGGAGCCTTGAGGCTGCTCCTTTTACCCCTTTGGGTAGTTTTAATAGCTTTTTGAAGTCGTTTTGCAGCCTTGCGAGCCGCGATCCTCGAGGCCTTTTCAATAGCCTTCTCCTCCCTCTCCTTCTGCCTCATTAGGCTTACTGCAAGCCTCGCCTGACGCCTCTGCTCCTTCTCTATCGCCCTCGCCTGCTTTGTCTCCTCGCGTTGCCTTATCGTGTCAGCTTTTTGGAGCTGTAGCTGCTCCTGCTCCTCCTCCTGGAGTCGCAGGCGATCGTGCGCCTCCTTCACCTTCCTTGGAGACCAGAATACAGCTCCACCGTGATACTCCTCAGCCTCCTGCAGAGGTAGAGGCTTACCTCGTTTCCTGCGTGTCCTCTCATTAATTAGAGCCTCCCTTAGCTTCCTTACTTCATCCTTAAGGAGACTGTTTTGAACTGAACTTGAGTGAATGACCTGGCTTAGCCTTTTGACCTGCCTATCGCCTTGATTAGCGACTACCTGACGCAGCAGACGCTCTATCCTCCTCCAATCAGAGGCACTAAGAGCTGAGGAGTCACTATCGCTCATAGGATCAGGAACAGAGAAGCGCTGAAGGATTACTTCTGGGTTAAGAGGCGAGATTCCTGTAGCCTTAAAGGCGTTCAGGATCGTTGTTTCTTTTAAGGAGGCCTGCCAGGCTTGGTAGAAGAGGGGGAAGAAGTCCCTCTTGCTCATTGAGGCGAGGCCTTGACTCCTGTCCATGAAGGCAGAAACCTCGTTCGAGTACGCTGTTGACAGAGGCTTGAACATGCTGACGTCGAGAGGCTGTAGCGTGTGGGTTGAGTGAGGAGGATAGACTGCAAGGAGGATCTTGTTCTGATCACAATAATCAATAAAATCCATTGTAAGGTGAGATCCATGGCCGTCAAGGATAAGTAATCGGTAGGAGGAGCGTGCCTTCGCCCTTGTACCGCGATCAAACACCTGCTGCAGCCACGCGAGGCCTATCTCGTTGTTTGTCCAGCCAGAAGGTGATGAGGATACTCGGATCTGATGTGTATCTGGATCAAGGGCCTGCAGCCAGGTGTCCTGTATAGACCCTGAGGCTGACTGGTAGATCAAGGCAGGCTCGAGGTAAGATCCGTCAGCGCAGATACAGGCCAGCAGCGTTATCCACTCGCGAGATCCATCCTGTATAGTACTCCTCCTTCTTCCCTCCTCATACGAGGCTCTACTAAAGATCCTTCTTGAGCGATTTACGACGCCAAGCATGAAGCCTTTCTCATCCATATTGTAGATATGACGCGCCTCGACGTGATACTGATTAATTTTATTGCGTAAGAGGCTAAAGTAGAGGCTATACTTGCTTCTAGAATCAGCTTTGTGGCGACAGTTATCTATGCCTACTGCCCACTTTGAGATAAGCTGATCAGGATAGCGCTGAACAAAGCGACTAGCCCAGTGTACTCCAACCTCTCTCTTGGCGATCTGCGACGCAAAATTACGTATCGTTGACTGAGTAGGGGGTAGGCCTCTCTCTGTAAGTTGATTGATATAGGCTATTAAGGCCTGCTCTTGGTGTAGGTGGAGGAGGAGTTGACTTTGGTAGCCTTCAGCGCGCGAGGCGCGGCAACCTCGGTGTCTTCGGCTGAGTGTAGATCGATCAACACCAAATCTTTTTGCAACTTCTGTATATGTAAAAGGCTCGCCAGGCTCTAAGTCGTTAATAGCTGCAATTGCAGGCTCAATATTGCTCATGGTGGTGGAGATACAAGGTGTTGAAGTTGTGGTAGTTGCAAGGCCGCGCGTGCGCGAGGTGGTAGTGTGCGCGAGGTGGTGGGGCACGGTACACGATATTTCCATGTAACTCCTACAAATGGCTGCTGCTACCAGGAGCATGGCCAATACGCGCTTAGTCGCTTGTCCACAAACACATACCCGTTGTCCAGAGCTACTGGTTGCTGAGGCTCTATTGATGCGGCGCTGGTATCGAGCATATCATATTCTTTTTCTACCATCTCCTCCGCCCTCCCGTCATCCAGGCGCAGAGCCGCCATAGCAAGGACAAGCTGGGAAATGCTATCCATCTGATTGAGGTCTTGTCCGGAATTGGAAGGGCAGATGCTTGTGGCGTAACAAGTAGGGTGTGAGAATACCTTTCTGGTATTTGCGCTGGTAGATAGTTGTTCTCCGCAATTAGGTGAGTTGATCACAACCGCTTTGGTAGTCTTCACAGGATGGAGTTGTGATGACTGGTACATATATACTCTCAAGCATCTGCAGTTTCTGGTTTCTGCAAAACGTAATTCCATATTTCAAGCTATTCCTATCTCGATCAAGAATGGGTTACTCGTACAGCTCTGATTTCTGTCAGTGATGCGTCCAGTCACTCATCCACAATCATTCCTGACAGATCAGAATTGATACTCAACAGCCTGTGGTCTTCCAGACATGCGTACGCTTTGCGAAGTAATGGATTGTATAGAAAAGAAGCTATGCACAACGCAAGGTGCTGAGGATATAATGATCAACAGTGTATAATTATGTACTTGTATTCCAAAACATGGGTTTGAGTAAGTAGATAACGTAGCCTGAGTCTGAGTAGAAGATGATCATCTACAACCAGTTTCGTCAATTTCAATTGGAGGTTCAATGCATAAACCACGTAAGCAAGCAGTTTCTAATCACCAAATTTGCCTAGATGGATTGTTTATATATACATTATGATGACTGATAAGCATGGTAATTGCTGATAGATGAATCAAGTTTCTCACTAACCATCAGTTACTTGTCACACCGAATAACTCTGGGTATCATGGACCACGATCGATCGGTCGGGTGTGATTTTTCAAATTATACCATTCTATCTCTTGGTTGGCTCTGCACTTCTCTAGTAGGTTTGAGGTTTGTACATTTCTTGCGTCTTGCTCCTAAGTGTATGAACATTCAAAATCTATTGTTAGAAAAATTCAGTCCGCATATTTGAGCTCAGGATCTTCTTAATTGATTGTAATTGATAATGTAGTTCTATTGTAAGATAGATAACTAGTTGTTCTTAGCTTTGGTATGCTTAGTGTACTATAAGCGCATCTCACCACATATGGACAGCTAACGGCGCATCACTATGCAGTTAACTCAATTCCATCCTTATAACACATGTTCGTTATAGTAGCCACTCTAATGCGTGGATATGTCTATGACCGTCGATGCAAGCACGTTGATATAGGCACTAACCTTAATTGTAGTTTTTAGAATGGCGTTCTGCTAGCCACTAGTACTAACACTTAGTTTATCTTAAAGCTATGCAGAATTATAGATATAAAGATGCACTAGCGAAAGAATAATAAAAGATTAATTAATCGTGATATATGTTACATATTCCCTAGAGGTTTGGCGTACGATATTTGCATAAGCAGACAAGGCGAGGGTGATAGGGTAAGTATAAATCAATACGACCCCTGCGAATTAATTAACGCTGGAAGAATTAGCGGCTGCATTTGGCCGTGTGTCTCTAAACCTGCAGCGCCGTTCTCAGCGCGCACGAGCCACATCGACGAGCACTAATACCACATCACATAACTCACTACACACTTATCGTGTAGTTATCGTTCTTAGTGAATTCAATACGGGCGGCCTAGCAATAATAGATGTTTAAATCACATCTATTTTATATATAGTGAACTCTGACACGATTTGCCACCACTGGCTGGTGAATAGATACCGGGGTAGAACGCGCCATCCGGCCATTGTGTAGGATGGCGGACAGGATTAAAGCGAGAATTCTGATATATGCAGTAGCATAGGAGCCTTGATATAATTTACGAAACACAGCCTTGGAAAGTATCCACGTCTGTAGTGCCTGTACCAATCAGCTCTACTTACTTTTCCATTAGTTCAGCATACATGTCCCCTTTCCATGAATTCATGTTCTTTAGCATATCTCTCAACAGAAACTTTGCACTAGTAGCTACCAGTAGCTCAGCACACGCGATGTAATCGCTAGTGTATCTGCCGCTGGGCCACAAAACCTTTACAAGTGGACGACCCTGCAGAGCAACTTTATGCATCCTAACACAATGTGACTGATACTTCATGGGGACTGTGTATTCACTGCAATGTCCTTGACCAGAGTGCACTCAAGCGTCAAAAAATCGCCATTTAGCTCAAAACCTGCTTCGCAAGAGATAAAGACCTTGTGCGCTACAAGACCTATGCATTGTTCAGCCACTGTAAACTTACATCATCTATAATAGATACATGTTTTCCAAGTGTCGAAGTATGTATGGTGCTTCTTCCCCACTTGTGGATATCTTCCCTAACATCCTTCCCTGCCAACAGGAAATCCCGCCGCGCAGGAATATATCCACTTCCTAACTGCTTAATTTATAAACCATAGAGTATTGGTCTTTCAGTTAAACAAATGTCTTTCCTTGAAGTAATCTCTCGAGAATCGTGCAATGCGATACAAAAAATGCATATGTGCTCCTTGCTATCGGTCATTTTTTGCGTGACGCGTTCCTAGCGCAGCATTTTCATCCCCTGCAAAAACATGACCAAGGCTTGGCTTCTACGATTCGGAGACCGGAAGATATTGCTTAGAATGTATACAAATGGTCCTAAGACATAGAGCTTGTATTGAAGAGCAGGGGTGATGACCGGATTTATCCGCGTTGGTGTGCGACAATCGCACCCACGCAAGCTGGTTTTAGTGATAACTATTACGTAACCTAACATGTATCGTAATGAACTAGTTAACGCTAGATTGATCGATATAAACTATGCTAGTTAGTCTCAATACAGCATTATGTTGGTCTGAGCGGCTGCGAACTAACAATATCGTATGCAGCCAATAAGACGAAGCGAACGCCATTTTCATATAGTTACAAGTGCAGGTTGTTTCTGCCATATCGCGACTTGATCACTTTTCCTATCATTTGTGAAAGTGGAAGCGCTCCCAATATACAACTGCTGGCGATCGCAGGATAGCTGCGCAACGGTTGTTAGGACTTGGTCAATGTAACGGGCTAAACGCCCTTTGCCTCCTATACTCGTCTACGACCTCGTTTACTCTACCTGCCTAGCCTCATCGTTACCCTAGCAACCAATATTGTATATAGGTAGCTATGTAGCTAAGAACTTAGCTCTCTATCGAATACAATCTTGTTACCTTGGCCTGTCCAATTGTGCTCACGAGCTAAAGACTGCCCTCCTAGGTCGCGCCCCTTACAGTCCAAACTGGACCAGTCCAGCACCATCCGGCTTGATCTTAGTCACCTTTATCAGCTAGGCGCTAATTAGACTTATAAGTGCTCAGCAATCACTATAGCAGCTCTCTAGTGATTCGTATCGAGAACACATGACTGTTTGCTCGTGGTCTACTCTGACATATCAGATGCCGTATGTAACGACGTTACAACCCTGCTAAGTGTCATAACCGCCCCGGAGTCGGACCGGGACAACTGTTCGCCGGGTCGACAATGAGTGACTACGGTCCCCGCCGTAGTCTAGCTCTGAGAGGTCGGACCTGATTCGGATCCGACTTAAATGGGTATCTATTAGGACACTTCCTGTAGCTAGTTCAGTAGATTTTTGATATCCTTTCGTACAAGGCCTATAGGTGGCTTGTTGAATCTAGGCTCTTTGTGATCCCACGCACTCCCATATGCCTCTGAGTGATCCTACATCCGATACAGATCTAACTTGCCTTACCTGCGCCGTTACACCGTACTTTCATACCACTAACAGTCTAACAACGGTTTTGAACTACCCCACCTCTCGTGTATGGTTTACCCCTAACTAGCTTGAATAACTAACTAACTAGTTATAACTAATGAAGTCATCCAAGACAGTTAATTTACGAATGAATTGTAAGGAGTGGCAAGCTAGCATTGCTGTAACAAGTTAACTAACTATAGATCCTGGCGACATAACGGGCAAGTTCTACTTAGACGCATCCAGCTATCTAAACATTCATGACAAAATGTCTTCTTGCATGAGTTATGCTTGTAACATATTCCTGACAGATCTTCAATACAAATGGGACAACTGAATGTGACTTCCCCCAATGTAGACAGATTTGTAGCCGTCCAAACTTCTTGCTGGCTATTCAGCATTCTTCCCAGCTGACGTCTAGCTTCTTGCGATATCCGTGGTCTTGAAGGTCTAGGCTCTGCAAGTCTCTCCCAGGCGATACGAGCCCTTTCCAGTGCAGCTCTCGCTCCGCTTTCCCACCCACTAAGTGCATTTTCTTCGGCGATGGCAGCCATTCGTTCCATCTGCTCGATATTAAGCTCGTGCCAGTCTTCGCTCGAGAAGTCGGGCTTGGCAATACCAAGTGCTGGCGACCAGATGCTCTGCGCTTTGTGCATTGCGTTCCGGGCTACTTCACAGTATCCTTTGCTCTTGTTTCGCTGAGCAAGCGCCGTTAGCTGGTTTACGTCCTCGACATCAAGCTCGTGCCACTCTTCGCTCGAGAAGTCGGGCTTGGCAATACCAAGTGCTGGCGACCAGATGCTCTGCGCTTTGTGCATTGCGTTCCGGGCTGTGTCGCAGTATCCTTTGCTCTTGTTTCGCTGAGCAAGTATCTCTAATTCCTTGATCTGTTCAATGAAGTGGTGTGTCGCCATATTGTGGATGTTGACCGTGAGGCAACAAGGCGGGTGACTGAAATCCTATCTCTCTATATTTTTCTATAGCAGTAGCAATGTAGCTGGCATAAGTGGCCTCAAATCAAGGCTTAGTAAGTATTTGAATGTTCTCGCTAGTCCTAATCACTGTGTGTCAGCTGGAGTCATTACTATCCCAAGGTGCGTATATCTTTGCTTACGCTGAGGAACCGGTAAGCAGGTTATTCAGTTGGTAAATATTCTCTTCCTTTAGGCTGCTGGAGAGGTGCGTGCAGACAAATACCCAACAGGGCAATTGAAATTTCTTCTGATGGATGGTGAAGAGGGGTGAGATGATCATCGGATTGAGACACTCACCGCTTGCTGACACGCACTCGATAGCAGTTACCATCGTCCGCATTGTGCCAGTACCTCTATAGTCACGTCTATCATCCTTACCTACGAGGACTTTGATAGGACCAAACATAGATAGCATGATGTCTATCTCATCTATATTATAGCAATTCTCGAGAACGACGTCTAGCCTACAGAGTTCCTCCTTGATTACATCGAACCCATGTACCACCTTGTCATACATGTTATTGTCATGACGCTCCCACGGCATGGGGCTGTTGTTCCTCAATTTGAATTGCGGATGACGGCGACGGAAGACCTGAGGCCAATTCTTGTTCGGTGGTTCGGAGGTTCGGTTCGTAGCACGTCGACTGGCGATACAAAAAGCAAGTGCGGGTATATACTTGACACGTACAGAGTTCCGACTGCACTCATCCGTAAAATGAAAGCAATGAGAGCTTTCTCTTCGGGCGGGATGAGGTATTGCTGGCCTTGAGCCTTCTCCTTCATAGAAGGTCGTCCGCACTTCCGATAGTAATCGGTGTGGTAGGGAATTACTTCTTCGGTCTCGGTGCAGGCAGTCCAATTAGCAGGCACATCTATGGAGGCAGTTTGCGCCAGCACTTCGCTGGTCGGATTCATGTTCACGGTGGTGTTGCAAACGCCGCCATCTGGGCTAGTTATGGCAAGGTATGATGTGAGCACGCTAATCCAAGGGCCAAAACGCTGGTGTAAGTCCCGGAGTGTACCTTATAACGCTCAAGCACCCATACAAATTTTGGAATATATTCTTCTATCATTAGTCAGTCCAGCACTCATCTCGATATGTGTAGTTCCTGCAGCAATGACGTTGACACTAGGGTGTAAAGTTAATGTGGTTACCGAAGGATGCAGAAGCATGAGTGATAACATAGCTCAACACCATGTATTTTTCCGCTCCAAGCATTTGGTCTAACAGAAGAGAGTTCATAGAAAAGGTGTATGACATCACAGAGCGATAGCAGCCATGTCGGATAGTTCATGGCGTTCGGTCTCTGGGAAACTTGCGGCACGGGGGTTTTTGCGTGTCGCAAGGATAGGCATTAAAGCTAGTATTTGCACAGTGGACGTCAAATAGTTACACAACTATGTTTGCGTCCACCAGCTCGATAGAGGGAAAGCGAATTTCACACCTATTCGTTCCGCTAACCAGTGTAGCGCCGATGCGAGTTCAACCACCACAAGCACGTTCCAGTGTCTGTTGTTCCAAGCCTCAGCCTAGAAGTCAGAGTCGCAGTTATTACAGGCTCAAGCAAGCTAACCCAGGACTATGCTTTCAGTCGTTCAGACTGACCAACGATCTAGTTAGACCGTGGTGTAGGATCAGCTATAGCCCTGAAGCCCACGCAACGTGGCGCCAAGGTCGCCGCACATTTTCTCATCGGCATTAGTCTTGCTGCAGAGGTCATCCACAAGACCAAGTGCCTGAGAAACGGGCCTGACGTCACTGCCTCTGAGGCAAATGTTGAAAACGCCGAAGAGATTGCAAAGTTGATGGACAGTGCCGTTGCCCACTTCGGTGGTCTCGAGATATGTTGCTCCAATGCTGGCATGCACTCTTCTGGTCATTTTACAGGTTCTTCAGCAACCGATTTCGACCGCAACGCAACATAATAGCATAAAGCGTTTGATTACTTTTCTATCATCTCATACTCGCTATCCTCATGATTCAACCACGGCGTGCATTCACCAATCTCTAGCACCTCGTATTCATTCCTAACCAGCGTTGACGTTCTCTCGTCCTCGTACCGCTCCATCGCCCTGTCCAACGCGTGCCTCAAGAGCATGGCGCTGTTGTCAGTCTCTAGACGGGGCTGACACAGGCTGGTGCACTCGCAACCCAAAGCTGGAAGAGCTGTCTGGCGTTGCATTTCGTCTTCAGCTGACCATTCCGCGAGTGAAGAAGTGTGAGCAATGCGAAGTTCGTTACGAGCCTTCTTATGCTTGGAGCGAAGTAGACTGTACATCTCAGTACCTGGTTGGACTGGCAGAACTTTCAGGAAAGCCAACCTACTTGGGGTGCAGCTTGAAGCCTTTTCGCTTTGTTCTACTCATGTTCTCGGGAAAACTTGAGTTCGATCTGGTCTATCACAGCGATCAGCAGACTCAAACTGTTGTGTGTGAGTTGTGTTGCTGGAAACAACAAGTGACGGAAACGAAGGTTGGCAAACTGCGCCACATGCTTACCAAAACTATTCTTGAACTTTCACTATCACGGAATTGGTTTACACTGTCAATTGATTCACTCGTATGTTCAATGTCTAACTCGTTCCTTCTAGCAGCAAGAGAATAACGTATCTCTCCTCACGCGATGAGCAAATGCCGCGCAAAGAGATGTTTACTGAAAGCCACTTTTCCCGATCCAGAAAGGTAGCGCATTTCTACTGGAGCCTTGATTGATGTCTTATGTAATAAGTAGCCAATGATCCTCTTGTCATGCGCTTGATATGCCGGCCAGCGTCAACCTGTGAGCATAGGTGTTATGGTAAGCAGTATGTATGGATTTGTAGTAGACGTAGTATGTCAGCACTCAACAAGACATGCTACACTAGGCCAGCAAGAACGTAGGGATCGGCTTACAAGGCTTACATGCTGGGATTGTAGACGGCCTGAAGTATTACAGGCTAACGTGTTTCCATGTTTCTTTTGTGTACGAGTTGTTTGGTGTCTGGAAAGCATACATGAACTATACATAGCATCACAAAGATAAAGCCAGTCAGCTATTTCTCAGGAAGTAACCAATTAGTTAGTTGTGCTGTAAGAAGTATGACCCTGTGTTACCTGCTGGCTAAAAAGGCAAAAGAACAATGGTATTGGACAGAGATCAACTAGTAACTATAGCGAAAATAACCAGGATATCTATCACTATGTATCTTCTGACCTAACTTACTACTAAAACGAGTACTTTATCTTCTATGGAGTGAATCAGGTGGACATTACTAATTAAAGCAAAAGATAAGCATTAAATTCAGTAATTATGACTTATACATAATCCAGCATTCAGAGCTGCAAAAGTGGACAGACTTCTTTTCTCAGAACGGGTAACATGTATGGCTCATCCTTGGCTCGACGGTCGAGTAGAGTGTAAGTGAGGGTAGGGTTGCCAAGCTCTAGGGCGGCGTTTTTGTCAGATAGCCGTGTGTGTATATATACCTGACTAACTACCAATATTTATTTAGGTTCGATGTTGGTCTCTGACCGAGCTGGGACGCCAAAAGAGAGGAGATCTTCAACCGACCTAAGATTCCAACTGCCATGTTCACGCATGTGATATTCTGTTTAGTGTTGTGTCACTCCCTGGACGCCCATACTACTAAAAATATACAATTCGCTTGTGACAAAATCAATAGGGCGGGGTTAGGGAGTCAGAGAATGATAGTTTCTATGCTGATGCTTATGGGGGTTGTGTGACTCGTACACCGAGACCACGGTTTCGATAGTTAGCGGCAAGCATATCTTCTGTCATGCGTAAGCAGCAATGTGTGGGAACGTACAATCAACAGTGATATGTATGTCCACGCCTCCAAAAAGCAAGCTTGTACGCGAATCCGCTTCCGCTGTCCACTGCAGACGAGGGGCGTTTCCTCAGATTCGTGTAACTAGTAATTATCCAGAACAGAGAGTGAAGCGAATCACCTATAACAAAAGGTTGAAGATATTCTTGGAAACTGTGACACAGTACCTGCTTGCCATCCCCAGTTGTGGTAGGAATATACTAGCAGCGACTGAAGACCGCCACTGTGGCGAGTTTGCCCTCTGTAGCCTCGGCCCTCAGTACGCTCGCTGCGGTCCATTGCTGTCGCACCAATGGGTAAACCTGGGCGCGCCGTATGCATTGTCACGCCTATGCTGCTGGCAGCAGCGTCTTTGGTTTGCTTTCTCACCGTCAGCCTGGCGCAGGTCTCTCCTGGCAGCCACAACACTCTGCTCCAGCGAAAGCTCTACTTCTTCAAGGTAGCTGTCCCGTGCCGATGAGCGTGCCGCAGTTTGCATGTAGATGTTGATAAATCCAAATAGGCAGACACGAGCAGCATGCTGCTAACCCCCCAGGGCTTGCTGGGTAGTCTGCCTGACAGCCTGCCTGACAGCCTGCCCGACGTCCTGCCCGACGTCTTGCCCGACAGTGTCCTTGGCATCGATATCCCTGACGCCCTTTCGAGCGTGGCAAAGTCCGGGCATCTCAAGGACTTCTATGCGGTGGGCCTTTTCGGCTACTGTGAGGGTGAGACAGACACGCAAACTGGGATGGAGACGGTGACGCACTGCAGCGCTTGGAAAATGCCATTCTACTTTGACCCCGTGGCGGTCTGGCAGCTGGAGGATACAGGCATGCAGGTCATACTAGGGGACAAGTTTACCCACGGCTTGAAGATATACCGGAAAATGGTAGAGGTGATGCAGGGCGCCTTCGTAACCGTGCTAGCGCTGAGCGTGTTGGAGTGCGTGGCGGGCATGTTTGCTGTGAAGAGCAGATTGTACAGTGCATTGGTGGCCGCGGTGTCCTTTGTAGGCCTTTCTTTCTCCTCGACCGCCTGCTTGCTAACGTGCACGAATAGATACAGGCTGCGATTGCTATTGTGGCGGCAGTGGTCGCGACCGTCACCTATGTTGCGCTGACGGGCGTGTTTGAATCGGTCTTGCGCCTATACAACATTGAGGCCACTTTGGGCAGGGACTTGTTCTGTGTTCTCTGGGTTGCCGTTGCCTTTTCCGTCGCATCCGGCTTCTTCTGGCTGCCGAGTGTTTGCTTTTGCTCTGGCAAATGAACCCTTGTCTTGGCACTGCTAGTCTGGGGTTGGCTGTGTGGTTGGCTATTTAAGCCAGGATATGGAATAGGGTACATGCTAGTCGTCTTGCCTTCCGTCGCGTGCCTCCAACCCGTATAGAAGTAGCACATGTGGGTAAAGTGATAACATGTTATGGAAGTGCAGTGTACCCCTCGTATAGCCATGTCAATTCATTTGACTACATCTCTGCTAGTGTGGTAGAAAGTGAGCGTGACGCTGCAGTGGCTTGCGGTGGCCTGTGTGTAGGATCAAGCACGTAGCCTGCAAGGTCCTGTCGATAGTGGCGCCCTCCCTCCCTTGAAGAAGAAGCGGTGTGATGAACTGAAGGAGTATGGATGTGGTCGATCATCAGGCTCTCATGTCAGTGACGCAGCAGACAGCGCATAGCAGAGAATGACGATTGCGGCATCATGCTGCGACCCCTATCTGCTGGAGCAAGGCTGTTGGGAAATTACCCTTTCCAACCCAGTCCTCAACAAAACCTGTCAGTGAAAGCGCTGTGCCAGCGCGGGAGTCATCCGGCTATACACGTGCCCCCATGCAACGTCGTCATCGAGACGGTGTTTGCCTTGGTGTCTGTAGTTCTCGCATCTGGTGCTGTCCCTCTTGTGGCATGTGTCTGTTCGCAAACGCTGCCTGCTATGTTGGCCCCACAAATGAACGGTTGCAGGCACGACACTAGTGCGAATGGTGTTTTACCCGTGTGCAAGGAATGCAAGGGGCACCGGTGAGCTTGGAGGAGAACGCCTTGCAGTAAGCCTACGGTTGGCAGCGCTAAATGATTCGATAGCATCTCGGTGCGGCCTTCTGTACTAGTATGCCATACCATGAGCGCGGCGATGCAGGTCATAGGCGAGCTTGGCTATCATTCCAAGACCAGGTACGATCTTCACGAGTTGCAGTTTCAACGTTACATACCGCTGGCAACGCGTTTGAACA